GGTGCTGATAGTGAATCCCAAATCTGTAAACAAGCAAAAATATCAATTAAAATTTATAAACATATAAAAAGTCTCAATACATACCTTAAGAATGTGACTAAGTCGCTGCTGTTTTGCAATCTAAAAGAAGAAATAACATTATAATTAAATAAAATTGTTAAATACGTATTCTTACCTTCAAAGTTTTCGTAGTGACATTTCTTCACAGTATATATACTGTCATCAAAACTCCGATGTTTCTAACTTGCTCGCTCTAACGCATAGAATTCTTGTTAGAGTACGAATTCTTATCGGCTATGTAGCTCTATCAAAGGGACATTTTTTGACAGTTCGAACAAAAAATTTGTAAGTGTGTGGGTGAGATGACTAAAAAGTTGTGAATGTGTTTGTAAATCGTTTGAATTTTAGGGGAAAGTGGTGAGCCGTGGCTGGCAGGGTAGAGATTGAGTTGATGTCTTAAAACACCGAGGTCGCGGGTTCAAATTCCACCACATGCAATCCTAACTATATTACACATTTCTGCTCTTAAAATCCCAATTTATATCGGGAAGAATTGTTAATAACATTATACTTGTAATGGGCTGTTTTTGCTTACGCGTAAAAGCACATTTAGCGCATATAGCTCTAAATGCTACTCTAAGGGCCATTTTCACCATCTCTGGTTAACACTAATCTCCAGTTGAACAACGTTACCGACGTTACTGACTCCATACATATAACTTTGGGTCAATAACGTCGGTAACGATGTTTAACTGGAGATTAGTGTTAACCAGAAATGGTGAAAACGGCCATTACAGGTCTATTCTGCGCTGGTAATAAAAAGTTTGTAACCAGTAAATAAAGTTCCTGTCAATTTTTAAACCCTTTTCGCATTCTGTATACTCTTGTAACCGGTAAATTTTGTTACCATCTCATAAGAAGGTAACAAATTATTGCTCCGTGAAATATGCAATGCCAGGATTTGCACAATTCTTCATAGCTGAATTGCTGAATATTTTAACTGCATTACCAACGTACCTATAATCGCGGTGACAAGAACTGGTAACATTTTTTGGTAAAACAATTTCCGGTTACAAAATCTTCGGTAACGTGCAGAATAGACCTGTAAAAGTAAATTTATCCACACAAAATTCGTCACCCAAATGCAACTCCATTTTTGCATTAACAATCTAAATGCTCGTCGGCCGCTGTGGTGTGGTGGTAAGCAGTGCGCGCTTCCACTCCGCAGCACCCGGGTTCAAACCCTGGTCAAAGCAACATCGCAAAAAATATAGAAAAAAGGTTTTTTTCTGAACAGCGGTCGTCCGTATTATTGAAGCGTATTCATAGTCCAGCAACTAAGTCGAAACTAACAAAGTTGAAACTTAAATTTAAGTACCAACTTAAAATTTACCTCTATTCAGAGTCGCATTTCAGACTTCTATTAAGTAGTTTCGACCTAGTTTACGATATCGCAAAACGAGTTTGAAAATGTATAGATTTTTCTTTACGATATTTTGGAAAAATTACATTTTTATTAAATAATGTCAAGTTTGATCATCCGTTTATGTAATTTTTATTTTCATTGCATGATTATGCAAAAGAATAAGGTATCATTTTCTTGTTAATTGTGTGAAGTAGCCAGAACAACCGCAGTGATGTGAAGTCGATGTTTATCGAAAGCATGCTGTGAAACAAACAAATAGTAGATATCTAAATGTTATGCACAAATTTACTTTAAAAGAACTAGCGTGAAACTGACTTATTATTTGAGAATTTATCTAAATTATTCCAATTATGAAATTGTGATGTAGCTTTATTCGAATTCTAATACGCATTTAATTCATCTCCCGATTAAAATGGATCGATCTTTGTAAATTTTAATTGGAGATTATTCAATATTATCAAAATCACCCTCTACCAACTTGATTTTTACATATTTCGTCTGTTTTCCCTTAATTTGATAAAATACTTCTTCTTAGTTACGAATTACAGGTCTGTTCTGCGCTGGTAATAAAAAGTTTGTAACCGGCCCTAAATAAAGTTCCTGCCAATTTTTAAACCCTTTTCGCATTCTGTGTATTCTTGTAACCGGTAAATTTTGTTACCATCTCCTAAGCTGGTAACAAAGTATTGCCCCGTGAAATATGCAATGCCAGAATTTGCACAATTCATCATAGCTGAATTGCTGAATATTTTAACTGCATTACCAACGTTCCTAGAATTGCGGTGACAAGAACTGGTAACATTTTTTGGTAATATAATTTTCCGGTTAAAAAATCTTCGGTAACGTGCAGAATAGACCTGTTAGTTGCAGCTGCAGCCGAAACTAAATTTTAAGTTGGTACTTAGCCAGAAAAGTCGAAACTAAGGCGACTATGAATAGCTTTAGTTGTGACTTAGAATAGTTTCGACCTAGTTGAGTACTAAATATGACTATGAATATGTGTCATTATTATTAATCTAAATGCTAAAAGCAACCCTGCGATCTTCCAAAATTTCCACGATTCGAACATGGTTTAATGAGGAAAAGTGTCAACATAGCTTTTTCGCGTATACAGTGGCTAGCTGCGTTTCAGTGATCGCCGATCGAGATTTCATTAATTATTTTACATTATTTGGATAAAGAAAAGTTACACAAATTCAACATCGATGTGATGCTGATAGAAATCTGGATCAATTTGTGATCAACCCTGTTTGTTTTGTTTCCTAATTAATTGACAGCACCGACAAATGAATATATACACAAACAAATGTTCGGTTGTGGTTCAAACAATTCTGGTTTTTGTATTGAATTTTTGATTTAAAATTAATTTTTCCCTTTTCAGTAGGGTTTTTTGCACATAATCTTCTGCGTGAGAATTGATCGTAAAAGATACGGATCTGAAAAAGCGACTGGAACACGGCTGTTTGTCAAAAGAATACGATTTCGAACTCGCGTAAATGTACATTTGCTAAATGCGATAGCATCAACGCCTTCGAAAACATATGTTCGAAAGTGCTAAATGTTGCATTTTAAATGCAGCGAAAATAATATGAGTTTAGGACATTCGATACGATACTAGGGTTCTGGTACTCGATTCCAAAAAATATCGTTTTAAACTATCGAGTGGACAATATCGGCATCGAAAGCCAAAAGTATCGATATGGTATCGTATCGTATGGAAATTCGTGTCCCTACTGCCAAGCGTTCATTGGGCCTGAGTACACTAGCTTGCTCAGTCGGACCACAATATAACCAGTAAACAACCTTCGGTGAATTTGGCGACTGCCTTCCTCGGGGATGAATATGCTAGGGATGAAATTATTGGTACACACGCCTTCCAAGCACGCAGGGTTGCTTTTAAGAAGCAAAAATAATTAACTCCAAATAGTTTCAAAAAGTATAGTGCAAAACGAAATTTATTGAATAATTCCACATAAAATGGTATACATAAATGACTCATTTTCTAAACGATTTAAATAAAACGCATTTTATAACCTTTTTTGTGCAAACGGCATTTGCGAATTGATAGAAAAGTACTACGGATTGTAAATTTTTGTTAACTATGAGGTGAATGAAAATTTTCAACCCGGCCTGACGACTTTGAAGAATTTTTTTGTTCTAATTTTATTACTAAGGCGTCTAATAAATGCATGGCTTTTAGTTGTATAAGAATAAAAGTCAGTAAAGACAAGTATTTTTTGTATAATTTCTGATTTTAATTGCTCAACTTTTGTACCAGAGCAACTGTCAAATATTTCCAGCAGTAAAAAGTTACGAATTGGCACAGCAGAAATGTAAAATTTTCTCGCCATAATAAAAAGTTTTTTCAACATGGAATTTTTCTACTAATTGACATGAAATTACTATCTCAACGTTCGGAGCGCTGCCACTGAGCGCCTTTGCCAACTAATAAAAAAGAGAAAACTTGGAAAGACCAAACAAAATTTTTTTTTACCTAGCTCGTGGGACTACGCAAAATTTTTACAGCTTGTAAATATGTATACACATAAAGTTGTTGGCGGTTATAAACAGTCAAAATCAAAATGGAGAAAAGAACAAAAAGCGTACGTTAGTTGTCAGTTATGGAGTAAATCCAATTTATTTGCGAATATTTGTTTATTCTATTTATTGAAAGGCAACCACGCGGAAAAGCTTGTGTTAATTATATTGATAAAAGAACCTGGCAACTCGCACGTTGTCTAAATTCTCAAGTAACATAAAATTCTCAAAGAATACTTTGCTTGTATTACCATCAATACGCCATGTATAAATTTTAACAACACAAAAATAGAGCTTTTGCACGAGCGTTTGTTTGCCTTTTCAACACCATTTATAATTTTCTTTTTATAAAATCACGATTTGTCAAATGCTTAAATTTATTTATCTAATAATAATGCAGCACACAACCCTGAAATCTAAGAAAAAGTCTGAGGAAGGCAATTAAATAGCAGCACACAACCCCGTGCCTCCCTCAGGAGTGAATATAACTACAACAACAACGACTACTACAACAACAACCCAAAAAGGTTGGTTACTGTCTATATTGTGAGTCGGAATGAGCAGTCCACCACTCGAACCTCAGTATATCCAGTAAACAAACTTAGCTATTTTTTTTACCAAGTTTGGTCCCCATAAAGGACTAGTGTTGCAAGCAACGCTTTTTCGGCAATTAGGGTGTTGTGCAGCTATTTAATGTGGTGAAAATTATTTAAGCACTGGAGAGATTTATTCACATGGAATTGGAGATAGGGCTGATA